GAACTTAGTAAGGCAAGAACCAGTAAGTCCTCCCATTGAATCTGACACCATTTGCCAGGGGAAATGTGTTAGCAGCACCTTTGCAGAGCCAGCAGAGCCGTGCTGCGCAATGGCTGAGAACTGGAATAGGTGCCGGCGTACACAGAGAATCCTTGGGGAAAAGAGAAGGAGGGCACTTTCCAGTGCCAAGCATTTCAGGTATTTTTATTGATTTTGTTTTGTTTTAAGGCTATGTGACTTAAGGCTTATTTAGTAATTGAGGGAAAAGAGGTAGTAAAAGAAAACCAAAAAGAAAAAAAAGAGGGTTATATTCTCAAGGGGTATTTTTTCCTAACATTTTCTTTTCCAGCTTCCATGAAAAATCCTTCTACTTGTATTCAGTTTTTTCATTATGTCCCTTCACCTCGATATATAGTTGGTTAAAATTCCCAGAGTTGTTTGCTCTTTCCATTACAATTTTAGGTTCCCGATTAAGCCGGAGACTGACAGGGCATTTTCCTCGCTTGGAGCTAGCTTCAAATCACAGACAGAGGAGGTATTCTAGGATGTTCCCAAATGACCCTAGGAAAAGAAGTGAAATTTTCTGGCCAAATAAATTTGAGAAAGGCTATACATTTAAAATCTCCCTCTGAGAGACTGACCAAGTACATTAGCATATTAAAGCCCCTGAGAGTTCCCAGTTAAACAACAACAAAACTCTGTTTAAAAGTTTACAAACTCATTTCCTCCCCAGGATGCATTTTTTCTCTGCATGTTATTAACATTCCAGAAGAATTTCCCCTTAACACCAGTTTAGGAAACCCTGCTGCAGCAAATTGGTTCTACCTATGCTGTGTGGGCTGTTTGGTTTTAAATAGAGAGGTTCTCCATCTTACCGCTAGATTCAGGATTCATGTTACTTCCGGGATTTGGAGCCCTCCCTACACAGTAAGGAATAATGGGGACCACCAATTACCTTGGGGACCTCTTTATAACACTAGGACCAGAGCAATTAACAACAACAAAAAATGAGGATAAAGATGGTTGAGGAGAGGTCAGCAAAAAAAAAACCCGACACCTTTAATTAAGGCCAACAAAAATCCCCTGCTTTGTGAAAGGAATGGTAATTTATTCCTTCCTGGAAGGATGTGAGTTCAAGACAGGATCAAAATATCTCCTTACATTTCTGGAGGAAGCAGTCAACTAAACCACAGACACTTTAATAAGATAATTGGGGATGGCAGCATTTTTGAAGTTATGATAAAAGAGTCATGAGGTAACACCCATGGAAATGGGTGACCTACATTATGGGTTGAAAGAGGAAAACTGGGGAGCATAAACACGTCGCGGTGGCGATGTGCTGTCTCCAGCACTGCTCAGAGGACAGTGGGGGTCAGGCCGGTCCCAGCAGAACCCTGATGGGGTCTAGCTTGAACTGACAGCCAACCTTTCCCTTCCTACCGTGTTAAAAGTAGAACCAACTTTTTTTTAAAGACTGCCATTTCATATATGTGTATGTGTGTGTGTGTGCTCTTAATATTTAAATTCATCCACAAACCAAGAATTGAAAGACAATCATCATTTATGTGAGGCCTGATATAACAACGTTTTGGCGACAGGCTCCCTCTACTGTCTCTGAAATAATAAATAAACACTTTATGGTACTCTGCTGACCAGATTCCAGACTTTATGAAAGTCAAAGCAAACACAACCGTGTATAACAATAAAAGAATTGTTAGTATAATAATCAGGAAGTTCAATGTTTGGAGAAAGTTGAGAAATCATAAACTAGTTAATGATATAGATAGAACCACATGAAGTTGCTATTTGACTATTTTTAATCCACAAGTGACAATTTTTATGGTTCAACCTTATATATTAATATTTAATTGCCAAACAATAATAGGGAGGGTGTATATTGGGAGTAGTTATTACTTTTAATAAATAATCTTTATGATGAAATTCCCTAAATACACTGGTTAATTTAAATGATGTTTCTTGACCAAAATTAACTGCAGGGTATATCAGTACCATATAGGAATGTGTATATTATAACTTGGGTTTGAAAGTTAAAAAGTGTGAAGATACAAAATGTTTCACACAGGAAGGTAAATGAAAAAAATGTAGAAAAGCCGTATGTTTACAAGAGGAAAGCTAGAAATAAAATAGTTGACATTTTAACTCTGAGTGAGAAGAGGAAGTAGAGCAATTTGCATAGACTTCAAACAATCTCACACTATTGAGAAAACCTGCAAATCCTGGAAAGAATTAGAGATAAAAGCCAAAGTCAATACACTTCAACCACCCTTGATGTTTCACAGTCACTAAAGGAGAAAGCATCTTCTGGGTAAGTTCACACTTGGCACAAAATAAATATTAAGTCTGTTGGCAATTTTCCAAAAGTTAATATTTTACAGTTCAGATTTTTATTTAAGTTTGCCTTTGAACCAGAAAAAAAAATCCTTTTTTGAAGTTGTCATAGTCCCAGGAATTCAGTCTAAGAATGAAAGATGCCATCAAAAATTTATTTACAAAGATGTTCATCAAAACCTTATATTTACAGTTACTGTTCACCACTTAAATCTTATTCCTAGCACCTACTTATTCTAGCACCTACTATGCAGTAAGAACTCAATAAGTATTCTTGAAAGAATGAATTACAGGAGAAAACTTGGAACTTTCCAAATTGGTGACTGGTTGAATAATTATGAGTAGACTATGGTTTACACATATTACATATGACCATTAAAATGTTTTGAAGACTTTTTAAACACATTGGGGAAATGTTAAGACATTAGAGAGAATGTTAAGCAAAAAGGCATGATAACAATGTGTACACTATCTAATATGAATCTTACAAGTGAACACAAAAAGGGCAAAATTATTGATTATGATTTTTATTTTTTTTGTTTCTCTGTGTGTTAAAAATTGTCTATCATAAGTATGTACTGCTTTTATAATCAGAACACTAAATGTTATTTAAACATTTGTATGATGCTCTGCTATCAGATATGTAATAAAAATTTATCCATTAAAAACTGTGGAGTTTAATAAAAGGTACTTATTATAGGGTAATTCAATATTTGTATAAGAGTGTTTGGCTTTTCCCTATCGTTTTGTTAGAACAAGCCCTCACTAGATACATACTTTCTGTAATTTATCCAGTGACCTGATAAATTACAGAAAGTAAATTTTACTCTACTTTTGGGTATTACACCAAAAACTTCTGTATAAAAGTTACAAAGATTAGCAAATTATTTCCAAAGTTATACAAAGATGAGATGTGTTTTTTCTTCAATGAGAAAATAACCATCATGCATTCAAATAGGCACTGAGACAGGCACTTCACCTAAACAATCTTTAATCCTTACAGCTACCCTTTATTCATATACATAATATTATAGTAGAAATAGTAAGAATAGCTAAGTTATTGATCAAGTGTCATGTTCCAGGGTCTGTGTCAGGGGCTTATTTTCTCTCATTTCATGTTTTGAGCTGTCCGGGAAGGTAGTATATATTACCCCCACTTTGCACTTGAAGACCCTGAGGCCCAAAGTGGAAACCTGATCTAACCACCCTCCATGTGGAGAAAATATTTTTATGCTCAAAGGTCATTAAACCATTTTTGTCCCTTTTTTCAAGAACAAAAAATAAACACTGAAAACACTGCATTCTACAAATGGACTTAATCTTCTGTTGGGAGGAAGAGAGGTAGGAAGAGGAAGCTTCATCAGTTAGAGCTGGGGTTTTCTTACTTCCTTGGAGTAAGACAGTGGGAATAGCCAATCAGACATTACCCATTCATCAGTACAAAGCAAATACATCAAAACAAATGTTTTTTAAAATATTGGTCAAGAAATATAATGAATTTCCCTTGCTTTATTTGAATGAAAAATCTGCAAACTTCCGACATCAGCTATGTAAGGGTGTTTTTATAATAGAGGAAGGAGATAGTGGTTTACTATGTCCTTACCAAAGGAGGGATGTATTTTTCAATGACTTCATTGAGTTCTTTACAAAACTTCCATTTCCGCTTTATTCCTTTGCCTTCTTCCTTCCATCAAGGTTCCAAGGAGATTTAGAGTGAATGTGGGGAGATGACTAAGAAAATGTAAAAATAACTGAGCCTTAGCAAGGCAGCTCAGTTGGTTAGTGTCAATGGGAAACACCAAGGTTGAGGATTTGATCCCTGGTCAGGACACAACACATCCATGTTTCTGTTTCTCTCTCTCTCTCCCTACTCAATTAAAAATATAAAAATTAAAAAAAATTTAAATAGCAAGAATCTTTGCATACTTTTGGCTCCTGAAATGGTCCAACTGGTTCTATTTTAATAATAGTATTAATAATAAATTAAAAATTGCCACTTAGTAAGCATCTTCTACGTGTCAGAGCTTTATACATTTCGTGTCATTTGAAGCCCACAACCGTCTACCAAGGTACGTATTCCCAGCAGGTACCTAAGCCCAAAGGTTAAATAGCAATTATAACTCATATCAGGGCTACTCAATGAAATCGAATCCAGATTTGATTCCAACAAACCCCACTTCCTTCGAAACACGTTGCCTAGCAACAAATCGATCCTAGTAACTTCCCCCAACCAAGTGAAGAAAAATAGCCAATTCCTTCCTAGAAGCCAAGCTTGACAGTTAGAATTTTCTAATAGTTATTCTTCCCCACCCCCTTCTGTGACCAAAACAGTGATTTAAGCAGTATAACCTTCCACTGGCCAATGTCGATTTCACCCGGGACTTGGCTCGGGCTCGTGGCAGAGTCCCTGGTTCTAATTCCTCCAATCTAATTTCTGGGGAAACTGGCATCCAGAGATTTCGCAAGAAACCTATAATCTTTTTAGGGCGACCTCAGGTTGAGGGACCAAGTCCTTCAGGGGACATTTGTTCATTCACATCCAGGAACAACCCTCTCTCCCAAATTAAGGCTTCTCCTGTCACTAACAAGTTTAAAACACTAACGAGGCCACCCTACCCTTTTCTCTCTCCCCGCCAAGAACTGGACCAGGTATGGACAAAGGTATTTCAATCCCCCTCCCTTCTGTTCTTCTCAAAGCAACCCGTGCGCGTGCAGACCTGCGTCCGAAGGCCTATGCACCCAATTCGCTGCGCCACGAGACCTCTAGAACCGCGGGGCTCTCTCGGAACCGGGTCTCGCGCCAGGAACCCGCTGAGAGTCTGCGAGCTTACTCCGCCCCTGCCCCTCTGTCGCCCAGGTCCTCAGCTCAAACCCGAGCTCTCCCCGCCCCGCCCCCTCAGGCTCAGTTCTCAGGCCGTTCCCTAGCCAGCCCCGCCCCGCCCCCTCCGTCTAGCGCCCTCCACCGCTCCCCAGGCTTGGCCCGCCCCCTCCACGCCCCTCCCCAGTTCCCAGAGCTCGCTCCACCTCAGCCCCGCCCCTTCCGCCGCCTACCTCCGCGGCTCCGCGAGCTTCAGCAGCAAGCGGTATCGTCTCCATGGCGACACTCCTTGCACAGAAAGCCGACGGAAACGCCAGCTAAACGCCTGGCCTTCGCAAAGTGCCTTTCAGATGATCCATGTGAGAAGGCCACAAGCGGGTAAGAGGGGCCGCGGCGACTGCGGGTCTCCCCCTCCCCATCCCTGCGTGCAGCCAGACTCATCTCTCACCTCGGACCACCCAGGCCCAACGCCTGAACCCGGAGACTTCTCTGGACCCTCCAGGTTTGGGCTCTAGGGCCTCGCGGCTGCCGAGATAGCAAGAGAGAAGGTAGGATCCTCGTGGCTGGAGGTGCACCTCGCACTTGGTTTCCTCCTTTGGGTGTAGTTGGGCATGAAGAAAGGAAATTAGTGTCTGCATGTTTGCGTGATAACGGAGCAGTTCTGAGGGGCTAGACAGGCCACAGGCTCCAACCAACGATTCCCACGTGTCAACTCCTCCTCTCGGCTCCCCCTCAAGTGAAAATTGCCGCGTTCCATCCGAGGGCTTCTGCCACTTCTCTCGGTCCTTCTCCCACTCCCTCCACTTTAACATTTTTCTTTTTCTTTCCTTTTCTTCTTCTTTTTTTCTTTTTTCGAAACAGCTTAATGGCCAATGGGAGCAAGCATTCTTTGGCTGTAGTTAGTCGTTACTCTCTACCAGGGGTGTCCAACCCTGGGCCGCAGGGCCAAATGCAGCCCAGCATGGCTATGAATGCGGCCCAACACAAAATCTTAAATTTACTTAAAACATTGAGATTTTTTTGTGATTACATTTCACAAAGTATTTAATGTGTGGCCCACGGACACCAAAAAGTTGGACACTCCTGCTTGACACAATTTGCTCAGCCATAAAAAATTGCGGTGGAATTTGGACAAATGATTTAACCTCTGCGGGTTTTATTTTCATCCTTTCATAAAATGAGGGGCTTGGACAACGGATCACTTGTAAAGTTCAGTCTTCAGCCTTGAGATGACCTGAGATTTCTAAATTCATAGTGTGGTATTGAGACGACTTTACCCTGCTTTAGTAGCATTTAAACTAACTCATGGCATAATTATAAACTTGTCCTTTGACTTTCTAGAGGGCATAGGTGAACTGAATCGTTCTTACCCCAAGAGACCCCGGAAGTTATTTTTTTAAAGATAAATCTGGCCCTGGCTGGCATAGCTCCGTGGATTGAGCCGGGGCTGCAAATCAAAGCATCGCAGGTTCGATTCCCAGTCAGGGCACATGCCTGGGTTGCAGGCCATGGCCCTCAGCAACCGCACATTGATGTTTCTCTCTTTCTCCCTCCCTTCCCTCTCTAAAAATAAATAAATAAAATCATAAAAAAAATTCACGTGGTTAGTTTAAAAAAAAGATAGATCTGAAAAAGACAAAATTTTTTTTATTTGTTTCATTCTGAGAACCAAATACAGTGTTCCCCAAATGAGTGTTAATTTTTTAATTTTAATTTTTTGCTAATTGAAGTTTTTTCTTTTAATCTCAGGAAAACAACAACACAGCTCTTTAAGTATTAAGAGTTTACCAGAGCTGAATTCCAGTGCCTTCGTAGGAATTCCACTGCCCACTCCAGAATTCCAGAGCTTCCTACTACCACCTTGGAACTAAACCTCCAGTTTTTTTCCTCTTCCTGTGCCCCATCCAATCTCATTGTGCATTTAGATCTGGTCTCCTTAAGTCAGAGTTTACCTTCAGCACTTTCCCTGCTAGGCTGTAGGTAATAACAACAATACTAATAGGAAGAGGAGGAGTTGTAATAATTATAATAGTAGAAGATAGGTGCTGCTATTATTGCTTATTAGTTATTTATATTAACCCTCACAATAACTCTATGAGATAGGTGGTATTTTTATAATCATTTTACAGTTAAGGAAAGTGAATCATAGAGAGGTTAAGGAATTTGTTCAAAGTCATGATTTGCTGGGATTTGAACATAGGCAATCTGACTTGAGAGTCTGGTCACTATCTTATGCTGTGAAGGAAATATACAAAGTTTATATGTGGCTACTTTTAAATAAGAATGTAAGTGATAGATGATCACTGAAGTCATTTTATACACATTTAACTGTGCAATGAAATATTGTCCCCATGTTCCTTCATGTTTCCCCATTATCTTCCTCTCTGATGGAGATGGTGCTTAGTCCGCTCCATCTCTCCTCACCACAACTGTAGGGCCTGAGTGTATAGCTGGATATTTAGTAATTCATCCTTCACCCGTTAGAATACAAGATAGCTTATAAAAGCAAATAGCACAAAAGGATAAAATAATTGTGTAAGTGAAGAAAAAAATGTGTTCCAATATTATAAGAAAAACTTAAGAATTTTGTGAAATCTGATTTTAAATGTTGGTGACTCATTTTATAAAAGTTTCTATTTGAAACCTGTAGAATCCAAGTAAAACCCATTTGGCTCTAAAAACTGCTGGTTAGTGAACACTTACTTGAATGGAAGGTACAAGATATTTTACATTCTCTTTTCGCTACTGAGTCTTTATTGTCCAGTGTGCGTATCTCATATTGAAAATATTTTAAGTGTCCTTGAGCCACTTGTGGCTAGTGGTTACCATATTGGACAGTGAAGCTCTAGTTTATATGGTCTTTGCCTTTGCTTTCTCGGTTTTTTCCTTCCCAGTCCATTCATTCAACACATATTTATTGAGCACCAGATTATGGCATGGAGTGCACTGGATACTAGAGATTTTTTTTAAAGTTGACTTGAGTTTATCTGTTCTTATAGCCAAAAACAAAAACAAACAAAAAGCCCCACTTATCTAAACTAATTAGGCCCTAGACTGGGGTTTTTGATTTTTGAGAGTCAACTTTTCCTTAAAGGCTGGCATTACATCGCATATAACTCAAGCATTGCCGGGAGTTTTGTACCATGTGTAGAAAACCTGTCTGCAGTGAGAGAGAGTAAGGCCTATGTGCAGGGAGAAGCTGAAATGAACAAGGGAAAGTGCCAACCCCACCCCCTCTCCCTGCTTGAACACAGCTGTATCCACTGTGTCTTGAATTCCGCACAGCCTGGGTATTCAACTCTTGAATTCTGTGAGCCAACCCTTTTTGATTTTTTTTGCCTAAACCAGGGGTATCAAACTGATTTTCACCGATGACCACATCAGCCTTGCAGTTACCTTAAAAGGGCCGCATGTAACTTTAGGATTGTATAAATATAACTATTCCTTAACTGTTAATCGAGAGTTCTGCACTGCTGCCTGGTAGAAACAAGGTGCTGGGCGGGATAAAACAAGGTGGAGGGCCGGATTCCGCCCATGGGCCTTGTGTTTGCCACCTGTGGCCTAAACTAACTAGAGTATGGTGCCTGTAACTTGAAAACAAGTCTACACTAATATAGCTAAAAAGACAAGAACCAAGACCTACCTTTTAGAAATGAGCTCTTACATTCTATGTCAGGGTTACCCTCCACAAAATTTCAGAGACTTGGTTTGCTTTCCATCACTTACTGATTAAAGCCAAAAATCCTTAGCACCTGGTAATTGACTTTTAAAATTTGCTTCCACATACATTCCGATTTCACTTATTGCCATTCTCTAATATAATACTGGACTTCTCTTCCCTGTTTGTTGACTGACTATTAGTCTTGACTTGGTTAAGTAAATGTCAGCTTCATCATGAAGCCTGATTCAGTCTTTCTTCTGATAGCACATAGAATTCACCACTTTTCACTGTGCTCCCTCAGGCCATCTTAATTCTAATACATAGCTCTTATTACAGGGTATCAGGTATGTTAGCCTCTTTTGGTTTTAAGGAGTAGAAATCATATTTATCAAGGTCTCATTTGGCTTGAAATGTCAAAAATCAACTCCAGTTTATTTTAGCAAAAAGAGAAGTTAATTGGCTCATCACAAAGGCAGAGATTGAGCTGGAAGACAGGACTCAAACATCATCTGTCTCGTCTGCCTCTGCCTCTCTCTTTCTCTCTCTTATCTCTCATCTCTCATCCCTGATTCTTTTGTATATTCTGCTTCACTCTCAGGCCACTTTTTTTCCCCAAAGGCTAGAACCATAATTACTGGAAGCTCTAGACTCATATTCGTTTTTTAAAAATACATTTTATTTTTATTTATTATATTTTTACAATTGTCCCAGTTTTTCCCCTTTTGCCCCCTCCATCCAGTACCCAGCATTCCCTCCAACGATCCCCTCCTTAGTTCATGGCCATGGGTCATGCATATAAGTTCTTTGGCTACTCTGTTTCCTATACTGTCCTTAACATTCCCCTGTCTGTTCTGTAACTACTGATTTGTACTTCTTAATCCCTACATCTGCCCCCCATCTTCCCTCATCCCCCTTTCAACTGATAACCCTCTAACTGATCTCCATATTTATGATTCTATTCCTGTTCTGCTTGTTTGCTAGTTTGTTTTTTAGATTCAATTGTTGATAGTTGTGAATTTATTGCCATTTTAATGTTCATAGTTTTGGTCTTTTTCTTAAATAAGTCCCCATTATTATATTTCATATAATAATGGCTTAGTGATGATGAAATTCCTTTAGCTTTACCTTGTCTGGGAAACATTACCTCACCTTCAGTTCTAAATGATAGTTTTGCTGGATAGAGTTATCCAGGTTGTAGGTCTTTGCTTTTCATCACTTTGAATACTTCTTGCCAGTCCCATTTAGCCTGCAAAGTTTCTTTTGAGATATCAGCTAATAGTCTTATGGGTAACTATCTGCTTTGCTTTTGCTGCCTTTGTTTCTCTCTTTATTTTTAACCTTCGACATTTTAATTATGATGTGTCTTGTTGTGGTCTGCTTTGTGTCTATCTTGTTTGGGACTTCGTGTTTCCTGGACTTCTATATTTATTTCCTTCACCAAATTAGGGAAGTTTTCTTTTATTATTTTTTCAAATAAGTTTTTTATTTCTTGCTCTTTCTCTTCTTCTGGCACCCCTATGATTTGAATGTTGGTACATTTGAAGTTGTCCCAGAGGCTCCTTAGCCTATCCTTGGTTTTTTGGATTCTTTTCTCTTCTTGTTCTTCTGATTGTTTGTAGTCTTCCTTGTGTTCCAAATCATCAATTTAATTCTCAGCTTCATCTGCTCCACCATTGATTCCCTGTAAATTTTTCTTTAGTTCACATAATGTAACCTACATTTCTGCCTGGATCTTTTTTATGCCGCTGAAATATCTGGTGAGTTCCTTGAGCGTCCTAATACCAGTGTTTTGGACTCTGCCTCTGATAGATCGCTTATCTCTATTTTGTTTAGTTCTTTTTCTGAAGTTTTGTTCTGTTCTTTCATTTGGGCCATGCTTCTTTGTCTCCTCATTTTGGCAGCCTCCCTGTGTTTCTATGTATTAGGTAGAGCTGCCTTGACTCCCTGTCTTAGTAGCATGGCCTGTTATAGAACAGAGCACTTGTAAGCTGGATGGGGCAGAGCCTTAAGTAATCTCCAGGGCAGGCAACCCGTTTGAACCAGGTTGATGGAGTCTCAGATATGATGTCACACTCAGTGGCTCTGTGTGGGGGAGGGCTCAGAAAGGGGACAGTGGTCACTGCCTGGCCTCTGGAGTTTTATCCTGGAGACAGCTATCCCCCAGCACTCACCCTGATGCTAGACCCTTCTGTTTCTTCTCGTATGCTACTGGTGCCCTTCTAGCTACTGCCCTGGTGTTAGAGCCCACAGGGAGTGAGTCTATGTAAATCCTAAGACTGTTGCAGGCCTTTTAAGAGGTGACACCTGGGAATCCCACAGAGTATTCTGCCACTGCAACCCCCACTGATTTTTACACCCAGAAGTTATGGAGACTCAGCTTCCTGGCACTGGAACACTGGCCTGGGTAGTCTGGTATGGGGCTGCAATTCCTTGATCCCTCCCAACTTTCATCTACCACACATGGGGGTGGGACCACCGGTTCCACATCCCCAGCTCTCCACCCCTCCTGCCTGTCTTGATGAATGTGACTTTAATTCCTTGGTTGTCGGACTTCCATAGAACTTGGTTTTCGGATGATTCTGGGTGATAGTTGTTTTGTAATTTAGTTGTAATTTTTGCTGAGCTTGTGTGAGGAGGTGACCTTTTTCACCTACACCTCCATCCTAGACTCATATTCTTCAAACTCTATGATAATTCCACTCAGAGAAGTCTCAGAGGAAGGTTGTGATGGGCTTAGCTTGTACACAGGCTCACCCCTTTGTCCAGTCACTGTGTTAGCTTATGAATTGCTGTGGCTGCTACTTTTGGACAGTAGTACTCTTGTGTTCAGGTGGGCTGGATCTTTTAACCACATTAGGAAAAAGGAGTTATCAATAGACAATAACTTATTATAGAGATACTTGTAGAAATTTAACCTGGAATAATATGGCAAACCTGGAGAAGAGGCATCAAGCTTGATTCTGGAACTGGCAAGTTGTTCAGGGACAGCTCAGGTGATTATAAACTTTCTCCTTCTCTATCTCCAGTTCTGTCTCCACTGCCTTTAGACTCTCCTTGGTTATGTCCAGTCCATGAGCTTAAAAGAAGCGATTTGATTGATCCTGTCTGGGTAGTGTAGAAACATACATTGGAGCTTTTTAGAGGAAAAGATTTAATACAGAACTGTGATGCTTGGTGTGTCCCATATATAGGGACTTAGTACCTCTTTCCCCTCTAAAATTATGAACTCAGATCTCCAGTGGCGCAATTGGTTAGCATGCAGTACTTATAGAATTATGAGCTTCTCTTGTATCCCCAGGGTTTATCACAGGGATATATGATATATAGCAGGTGCTCATCAAATGTTTGTGTCAAACAGACTTTGAATATTACTTGAAAATTGAGAACTATCATCACTGTTGTTCCCATTACCACTGGGACTGTTGAAAGTCATAAGGAGAGTCCACCCATATTCTAAAAGCCAGATGCTTTTGAGCGTCTGGGTGCGCTTGGTAGAAACTCAAAAGGCTTACTAAATGAATGTTGTGATGTTAACATTAACCATAATCAATAGTAATGAATATACAAGGTGTGCACCTGTGTGCTGTTCTTTCTGGATACCATGACCCCAATTTGAACAGGTGCCACTGGGTGGAGGAGAGAATTGAAGCAGCACCTGGCCAACATATAGCTCACATGCTTGTAAGAGATGGGTAAACATAGAGATACAAATGATGTTGCAAAATTTAAATTATATTTTTAAAAATAGATAATACAATTTTGTTCAAAGTTTCAGAGGTACAAATGCTCATAAAGTAAAAACCTCCCACCCTAGTCCTTCAGCCATCCCCAGAGTCAGCCAGTGTTATTATTTCTTACCTGAAAGCATTCCCTTTCAGAGATGGTTTGCATATTGATGGGTATTTGAGAAAGTGCATATTGCCTATACAGTGGCTGTACCTCATTCTGCTCAGCCTGTCAGCCACTGCTTTACCTTTATCTGTGTTCTCAATTACTCTGCTTTTTTCCTGGAGTCAAAAGATCTTTCTAAACAAGTATCATTACTTTTACGCTTGTGTGATTTTTAAACTAATTCATTAAGTCTTCAAAGCTAATTTGCTTGTCTCAATCACAATAAAGCTTCCTTTTTGTTTCCCTAAGCAATCTTAATCAGCCCCATAGAACATCTTCCCAGTTTTTTAGATCGTTTCTACAGTGTCCTTTCTGTGTGCCATGCACTGTGCTAAACACTTTACCCAGATCATCCTATATAATCCTTACAATGATCCAGTGAGGTTGACACCATTGTGATCCCTGTTTTACAGTTGGAAGAGCTGAGGCCTAGAGAAAATAAGTAACTAACCCATGCTTACTGGGATGTGAATCCAGTCTCTGTCACTCAAGAGCCCCAACTCTTCAGTGTTACTCTGCACTGCCTCATAGGGATTCCATTTTAAGTAAGGAGATTAAATGGACACTTCTTAGGTAATAATAGTCAGACCTAGCAGAGCCTATGTTTCCATCAGGAGCTAGGATCTGCCCTAGGTTTTTCTATTACCAGGTGAAATGGAATAGGAATTATATGCACTGATGTTTCTTCGAGGAAAAGGGTGGACTAGCAATCCATAAAGATCCTAGAGCTAGCAAGGAGAGGAGGGCGCTAAACCTAAGGAGATGCCTACCCAGGAAGTCTTATGGCAGCATACAGGATTGTGGAAATCCATGGAGTGGAAGTGTTTCTCCAGAGAGGTCATCCGAGATTTCTTTGTTCAGGGCCTTATTTGGTTCATTTTTGCATTGTTTTTAGCTTCTGAGCTCTGTCTACTGCCCTAGAGAATTAGGAGTAAAGTCATTTATTCTTGAGTTTGGTCTTCTACTGTTTTTCCTAAAATGATGCCTTGCTTTTCTGATGGACTTTAGCTCTCTGTGAACTTCTCAGAGGGATAATCAAGTTAATAATATACAGCCCATGCTGGTGTGGCTCAATTTGTTACAGCATCGTCCTGTACACCGAAGGACTTGGGGTTTGATTACCAGTCAGGGCACATACGTAGCTTGTGGTTCATTCCCCGGTCGGGGCACTTATGGGCGGCAACCAATCTGTGTTTCTCTCTCACATCAGTGTTTCTGATTCTCTCTCACCTGCTCTCTCAACATCTCCCTCTCTCTAAAATCAATAAACATATTTTTAAAAATAAAATAATAATAACATACATAATGTCTGGCTTGGTTAGGGTTGCTCAAGAAACAAAGCCTGAGGCAAAAGTTTACATGCTACTGCTTATTCAGGAGTGCAGATCAATGTGAGGGAGCCGGATTTAAAAAGAGAAAAACTTAATACAAAATAATGAAGGTTCTCTTTTATTGCCCACAGATTTGGCCCTAAGTTTTGTTTTCCAGAAATCCCTAGGTACGTATTACTAATAATAATTTGAAAAGTTATTATTGGCTTGGGATGTAGGGACAAGTAAATCCTTACCTGTGGAAAGTTTAAGTGTGGCCTCTCTCATACATTAAAAACCTTATGAGCTGATTTTTCCCCTTGCAATTAGAATGAAATTTAAGCAAATATATAAAGTGCTAACTTCTAGGAAAATCAGTCCATTAGGGGGTAGCTTAGGAAAGGTAAAAGTTCACAGAGAAAACATTTAACTAATAAGTATTAATAAACACGTAAGGGCATTTTTAAGGTAAGAATTATATTCTTAGATGTGTCTGGAGGTTAATTTCTAAATGTGTTTGTTGAAATAATATTTTATTAAAAATACTGTCTCTTATTCTGGCTTATATGCACTCTATAAAGGCATTTTTCATAACATGGATGATCTGGAGTGTGTGATATACTTTGGCTTACATCTTGTTTTGTTGAAGTGGGAAAGAAAAAAGGTGGTGTAAACATGAGCCACATCAAATTTATGATTTTTATGGTTAGCTCAGTAGGAAAAGTGATTCCTTAACCTGCTGTCGACTGATTTGGGTCTAGATTTAGAGACCAAGTTGTATAAAACCAAAATAGTAACAGAGTGGGGAGCTAACTTGATACATCGCTTGTTTTTCTTTTAAAATTTTTTTTTAAATAATAGTATATTTTATTGATTATACTATTACAGTTGTCCCAATTTTTTTCTCCTCTTTATCCCCCTCTGCCATCCCCTCACACTCAAGCATTCCCTCCCCCCATGGTTCATGTCCATGGGTTATATATATAAGTTCCTTGGCTTCTCCATTTCCTACACTATTCTTAACCTCCCCCTGTCTATTTTATGTTTACCTATTATGCTTCTTATTCCCTGTACCTTTCTCCCAATTATCCCTCCTCCCCCTCCCAAAGATAACCCTCCATGTGATCTCCATTTCTGTGATTCTGTTCCTGCTCTAGTTGTTTGCTTAGTTTTTATTTTTATTTCTTAAGTTCAGTTGTTGATAGTTGTAGGTTTGTTGTCATTTTACTGTTTATAATTTTTGACCATCATCTTTTTTCTCAGATAAGTCCCTCTAACAATTCATTGCTAAGGGCTTGGTGATAATGAGCTCCTTTAACCTGACCTTATCTAGGAAGCACTTTATCTGCCCTTCCATTCTAAATGATGGCTTTGCTGGATAGAGTAATCTTGGATGTAGGTCCTCGCCTTTCATGATTTTGAATACTTCTTTCCAACCCCTTCTTGCCTGCAAGGTTTCTTTGGAAAAAATCAGCTCATAGTCCTATGGGGACTCTTTTGTAGGTAACTGTCTCCTTGTCTCTTGCTGCTTTTAAGATTCTCTCCTTATCTTTAAGCTTGGGTAATGTAATTATGATGTGCCTTGGTGTGTGCTTCCTTGGGTCTAACTTCTTTGGGACTCTCTGAGCTTCCAGGACTTCCTGGGAGTCTATTTCCTTTGCCAGATTAGGGAAGTTCTCCTGCATTATTTTTTCAAATGATTTTTCAATTTCTTGCTCTTCCTCTTCTCCTTCTGGCACCCCTAGAATTCAGATGTTGGAACGTTTAATGTTGTCCCAGAGGTTCCTCAGCCTCTCCTCATTTTTTGAATTCTTGTTTCTTCATTCTGTTCTGGTTGAATGTTTATTTCTTCCTTTTGTTTCAAATTATTGATTTGAGTACCAGTTTCCTTCCCTTCACTGTTGGTTCCCTATCTATTTTTCTTTATTTCACTTTTCATACCCTTCACTTTTCCCTCTATTTTGCAACCACTCTCAACCATTTCTGTGAGCACCCTGATTGCAAGTGTTTTGAACTCTGCATCTGGTAGGTTGTCTATCTCCTCATCGCTTAGTTGTTTTTCTGGAGTTCTGACCTGTTCTTTCATTTGGGACATATTTCTTTGTCTTGTCACAGCTGTTACATTGTAAGGGGTGGAGCCTTAGTTATTCACCTGAGCGGAGCAATCCTCTTTGCTGCATTGTGATGCTGTCAGTCTACATGAATGTTTCTTTAATTCCTTGGTTGTCAGAGTTCCGTGCAGTTTGATTTTCTGGCAGTTCTGGTTGGGTTTTTTTGTTAATTGGTTGTTATCCTTCTTTTGGCTGTACAAGGAAGTAAAGCATTTCTACCTACACCTCCATCTTGGCTGGAAGTTGTACATCACTTTTCCAACATGCTTATTCCTATAGTTAATTTTACATAGACTCCAAGGTAAAATGGGGAGAAGGGGTTAATTTCTCTAGACTTCTTTTAAACCTAATTTCATAATCCAAAAGATTGAGGTTTTTCAGTTAGGATGGAAATAATGCTACCAAATACAAAAACAAAGCACATACTTAATACTCTACTGACAAGACAAGCTCTGCATTCTACTTTATTTATATTCTAAATTTATATAAGTGTTTAAAGACTTATGAAGTACATATTTTGTTTTTTTGCAGAAATTATCTAGAAAAGACAGATGTTGTAAAGGTAAGAGTACATAAACTTTTTTAGGACACTTATAGTTATCTTACCATCAATTTATATAGTTTTGAATAATTACTTTAGGATAAAATTACCTTTAAACCTCAATAACAGAAATGTTCATATAAAGACTATGTGTAAGTTATTTCAAATACCTTACATGAAAATAATAGCAATAATGCTAGTTTTTATTTCTGCTTCTATTTTAGGCACAAAACTATATTCAGAATGGCAAACTGCTAGTGTTTGATCCAAAGGGTAAATGATTTATTACTTAAAAAGAATATGTTTGAATACCATTTTGTCCTAAATATGAAGAAGATAGTATGCCGGGGTGGATGAGTGTGGTTGAAAGATTTAGCAATTAAATCCTTTATTATGTTGTCTGTCATTCAAAAATTGCCTAAATATTTGCCAGTCAGGAATTTCTGTTATGAGCATCACCATTGACAAAATACTGAGGGGTTTTTTTCTTCTCTTTCAGAAAAAGTGGTGATTAAACCAAATGAAACCATGTCAGAGTAAGAAAATGTCTCTGGTTGTGCAACTGATCTATCACATCCTTCTAAGCAATTAGAACTAGATAGTGCAATCATTTGTCACCCAATTAAATTTGAAAGGCTAGAAATGCATGGATTAGCACTTTAGCTTTTGCTTCAGCCAAAGCAATTGTTACTAGATAAAAGGACATTTAAAATGAAAAATGAACTTTAATAAAAATGTAGAGATGGGTAATACTGACTTCTACTTTTAAATGCTTCAACACCAAGTGTTCTGTATTTTACTTATAAAATTTTCATTGTTCATTTCTATTTCCCTTTGATGCTTGCTAATTTCTTTCAGAGTATCTCTTTAAATGAATATTTATAAACAGATTCTTTATTTACTATGTGATGATTTGTTACTACTAAATAAGGAAAATTCATAATCACCCCAAGTAGTTGAAGAAATTAGTGTTAAAAAGAATTATAGTTCAGTTTAAATTTAGGTATATATTAAGTACATGGTTTGTTTAAGGCACTGATCATGATAATTCATCAAAGCCCTTCCTGATATGATCATCTCCTACCACCTGAAAAGTAATTCTAGCATTTCTTCCATGAAAATTACATTTTGAAAGTTGATCATAAAACATATTCATAGAGATAAATTATTGACAAGTTGATAGGTATTCTTCTGGTGGAATTCTACTGAAATTAATATTATTTTGGCTTATTGTGAATATTACTGGGTAGGAAAATTTTCACCTAAAGCAACATATACAGGGTCTGACAGAAGTAACGCCTGTTTGAGTGAGGTTGGTAGGGTAATATTATGGGTATAATGATATGGTCATAGGTCGATGCACTTTGCCTCCTTGCACAACCAAAAGAAGGACAAAAACAAATTTAAAAGCAAAAAATAACCAGACCTGCCAGGAAATCAAACTGTAGGAAAGTCTTAAAACTAAGGAGTTAAAGAAGAAACATTCATTCAGACTGGTAAGAAGGGTGGACATGGGCAGGCAGGGTGGAGCAGAGGGGAGTCAAGGCAGCAGCTGGGTGGGTGAGGCAGCACCTGGCGGACCACCTAGTCCCACATTTGCATGCGGATAAACCAGGAGGAGCAACTGAGGAGTGAGACAGACCATACAACCCACGGTTCCAGTGTGGCGAAATAAAGCCTCAGATCCTCTGGTGGTAAAGACCTGTGGGGGTTGTGGTGGCAGGAGAAACTCCAAGTCTCACCAGAGAGTTTTTTGGAGAGATCCACAGGGTACTAGAATGTACACAATCCCACCCACCTGGGAATCAGCATCAGAAGGGCCCAATTTGCTTGTGGATAATGGGGGAAGTGACTGAGAGCTGGCCAAGAGCTAAACAGGTAGCATTGTTCCCTCTCGAACCCCTCCCCCATACAGCACCACAATGCAGTGACTTGGGTTGCCCTGCCATGGTAAATACCTAAGACTCCGCCCCTTATAACATAGCAGTTGTGACAAGACAAAGAAATATGTCCCAAATGAAAGAACAGGTCAGAACTCCAGAAAAACAACTAAGCGATGAGGAGATAGACAACCTACCAGATGCAGAGTTCAAAACACTTGCAATCAGGGTGCTCACAGAAATGGTTGAGAGTGGTTGCAAAATAGAGGGAAAAGTGAAGGGTATGAAAAGTGAAATAAAGAAAAATAGATAGGGAACCAACAGTGAAGGGAAGGAAACTGGTACTCAAATCAATAATTTGAAACAAAAGGAAGAAATAAACATTCAACCAGAACAGAATGAAGAAACAAGAATTCAAAAAATGAGGAGAGGCTGAGGAACCTCTGGGACAACATTAAACGTTCCAACATCTGAATTCTAGGGGTGCCAGAAGGAGAAGAGGAAGAGCAAGAAATTGAAAAATCATTTGAAAAAAATAATGCAGGAGAACTTCCCTAATCTGGCAAAGGAAATAGACTCCCAGGAAGTCCTGGAAGCTCAGAGAGTCCCAAAGAAGTTAGACCCAAGGAAGCACACACCAAGGCACATCATAATTACATTACCCAAGCTTAAAGATAAGGAGAGAATCTTAAAAGCAGCAAGAGACAAGGAGACAGTTACCTACAAAAGAGTCCCCATAGGACTATGAGCTGATTTTTCCAAAGAAACCTTGCAGGCAAGAAGGGGTTGGAAAGAAGTATTCAAAATCATGAAAGGCGAGGACCTACATCCAAGATTACTCTATCCAGCAAAGCCATCATTTAGAATGGAAGGGCAGATAAAGTGCTTCCTAGATAAGGTCAGGTTAAAGGAGCTCATTATCACCAAGCCCTTAGCAATGAATTGTTAGAGGGACTTATCTGAGAAAAAGATGATGGTCAAAAATTATAAACAGTAAAATGACAACAAACCTACAATTATCAACAACTGAACCTAAGAAATAAAAATAAAAACTAAGCAAACAACTAGAGCAGGAACAGAATCACAGAAATGGAGATCACATGGAAGGTTATCAGCGGGGAGGTAGAGGAGGGAGAGTGAAGAAAAAGGTACAGGGATAAAAAGCATAAATGGTACAAAATAGACAGGGGGAGGTTAAGAATAGTATAGAAAATTGACAAAAGAACTTCTATGTATGACCCATGGACATGAATTAAAGGAGAGGGGAATGCTGGTGGGAGGGGTGGAGCAGGGCAGAGAGTTATAAAGGGGGAAAACATGGGACAACTATAATAACGTAATCAATAAAATATTTTAAAAATAAATATTAAAAATATAGTTTGAATTTGAACATTTCAGCTAAAATATATGGTATGCTTGAGTGTCACACTGTTATGTTATGGAGTTACATGCTGATGATTTTGTAATAAAAAAGGGGTGTTATATTGTGTCAGACTCTGTGTTTTAATTTTACACTGTCAAACCTAAAAATTAAAATTAGAATCCACCTTGGCTTTGTTGTAAATTATTTATTAAATACTTATCTTTATATTAAAGGGAGACTAATATATAACAGATCAATGATGAGAATTTATTTATTGCAGACTAAATATTATATACAACCATAAAAAATAAATTCTCTGTTGATTGATTGAGACACACACACTCTCTCTCTCTCTCTCTCTCTCTCTCTCTCTCTCTCTCTCTCTCTCTATATATATATATATATATATATATATATATACTGAGGTAGTTATATCTCAGAGATAAATCAAGAGCAGCATGGGCCAAAATAGAAAAGTGTAGTGCCTACTTTTTCTCCTGATCTCATTAATAATAGCATCTTCTTATCAAACTACTTTTTGGAAGGGTAAGGTGATCATGTTCCCTTTAATTTGCTTGCAGAGAAGAGTTTGGGTGTGGTTTGGATGTTTGAAGTGGGTGGTTCGTGTAGCCAAAAAGCTTCATTGTTGTGTGTGGCATTGGTACTTTACCCATAGTTTGAGGCAAACAGGGCCATTCCTGGAAAAAATGATCAAGTAAGAAAATAGAAAATCATGGGGGACCTTTGTTGTGGGACTAGTGTGACCTGCAAAGTTGATGAATTTTCTCAATTAGCTTCACATTCCACGTTTTACTCCCTTATAGTCCAGGCTCCATAGTCTGGCTGGAAGTGGAATTTGCCAAAAGGTCCTATTAACCTTGGGTTATGGGAAAACTAGAAGTTTCCTTCTCCCACCAGTTCTTTGCCTTAATTTTCTGATTGGTTCTTCATTCTAGTCCAAGACACAAGGATTTTATAAACCATGAGTTTCACACTGCTGTGCACACAAAACTCACATTTATCGTTTTCCCCATAGATCCATGTGGGAAAGAGTTTGTCCACCCAACAAACTGCACTTAATTAACAAACTTTTCAGTAGTAAAGGTAAAATATATCTTTAATGCTGGACAAAATTCTATGGATCTTGGACCTTTGGTTTGTTAGGTGCTTTGGTCAACTTTTTGAGCATATATACCTAAAGATGTGGGGCGGGGGGGGGGTTGCTGAAGCGGCCCCACAGCACTTAATACTCTGAGGCTGGAAAAATTTTGTCTGTATGTTATTATATAAGCATATGTTTTATCTTTTTTAAAATGAATGAGAAGTTATTTTTTTTTCACTTTTACACTTTAAATAAATGCCTCTTTGGACGAAGACCAAGGATGGCCAGCAAACTTTTTATGTCAGCAACACAACTTTCTATAAATGGAGCTAACACATTCTTAGAAAAGTAAATTTTAATTAATTTTTAGGCCCATGTTTGACAAATTTATAAATCACTTTAAAACAGAGTTTAAAATACAAACTTCCTGAAAGACTTGTTTAATTCCAGTAGACATTTGGGGGCATTTCATAAATATGCCCAGTGCTTAATCCTAAAACCCTCTAGCATAAATATGTGCCAGTGAGATATCTAACTTGACTAACTCTAACCTCAGCAGATACTAAATTAAATATCTTCCATTTCCAACGGGTATTACATAAAGTAAAAAATTTGAATCTTTCCTTAATTGTAACTGTATTTAAATAACAGATCTTTTAGAGTATACTAGTTACTATTTTTAAAAAGATGGTTGGCATTATTACCATAAATAACTTCACTTTGACAAATGGAAGTCAATAGACCAAAGGTTAATATTAGTGTTGCACTCTCCAGAAGTGAAGCATTTAACAATGGTGAGAATTGATTTACAAACTTAAAAAAAAAGGCTAGTATTTCTCATATTCTTTTATTCTATTATATATGTCACAATGATGTGCCAAAGACATTCATAGAATTGATTGCTTATATCCTCTGTGTTAAAGAACCCTGAAAGATTCTAAGAATCACAATACAATGACAAATGCCAGACAGGGATAGAATTTTAATCGCCAGTGAAAATTCTTTTTAATGTTTTGCCACAAAGAAGATACTACAGTTTAGCTATTTAGCTTATTGTTGGTGTATTATACTGTATGTTAATATTAAATGTGCATGTACCTTAAACAGAATTGTGACCTAGGAAAGTATTTTTTGACTATCAATTTTAACATTTAGGAAGGAAGTCTCTTCAAAAAATATTGAAAATAAGGTCTCTTTAAAGAATACTGAAAATAGAGTGTCTTCAAAGTGTATTGAAAAAAAAGATACAGAAACAAATCTACAATCTAAGCTATGGCCATCTTCCTTCTTAAAAGAAAGCACAGGTAATAACTCCTGGTTTTGTTTGGTTTTTTGTTTGTTCATTTAATTGTTGCTTCTAATTCAGCCCTCTTTCACCAGAGCCTTTGGGATTTTTAACAACTCTGTAGATCTGGAGAGGATCATGGGAATCGGTACTTTTTCTAATTCATACCAGATAATTCTGATATGCAGTCAGGTGTAGGACCCGTGGGGAAAAAATTACATGAAATGATAATGATAGAGCATTAAATTTTAGAATGAATTAAAATACCTAATGAAAACGTTAACAAGTCCCATTCATTCAACAGCAGTTTACTGAGTGCCAGGCACTGGATACAATAGTTAGCAAATGTGCAAGGTCCTTGCCCTTATGACATTCACATTCTAGTGGGAGATAGACAACCAACTATTATAAATAAATAAACAAATAATATAAAATAAATGCAAACAAAAAAGCAATACAATATTGGTTGTGATAGGTGTTATAACATTAATAAAGGCACCTGGGAGAGGACTGCCTTAGATCTAGGGATCAGGAAATCTCTCATGAAGCTCTGTGTTTGTGAATTAGCAGTTTCTGTGACATCACGTACAGCCCTTCCCCTGATGACCTCAGTGTGATGATCCAGTGAATAGGCTGGGTCCACACTGGAAGATCAGAGAGTGAGCAGCTGTGAGCTGATGGAGACTCTAAAGGAAACAGGAGCAGGTAGATGGCTCACATAGTCCAACCATCCTATCCTGGAAAGGACTTGGTATCCCTTTTCAGGGTAGCAGTTTTTTTTTTAGAGTCATGAATTTGCTTTAGGTTGAAGAGTTTTACCAATTTTTTAATTCTTTTGGTCTGTGTTCTTTTAACATTGTTTTCTCTAGAGCTCTCCTGGATTTGCTCATTTTCTTCTAACCCAGGTGTTTCTGCATTATTTAGAGTAGCTCCTGGCACACTCCCATGAAAGAAGGTATCCTTCAAAACTTCCTTGATACTCAAAATCTTACAAGAAAAGGATGGTGTAGCACAAGTTAGTTTCAAGCTGAGAGAGAGATCCGTGGGGCCAAGGGAGTTCTATAAGCTCATTCAGTAGTGTTTCCCAAAGAGATGAGTTTAGGAAACGTGGTAAACTTTTTAAATGATTACTTTAATAGTATATTTTGATACGTAGAAAAAAATCATATAAGATGTGGTAAAGAATATGGACTCGGGAGCCAAACTGACTCCCAATGGATGTACCACTTAATTAGCAGTGGGAAGTTGGGCAGGTTATAACCTCTCTGTCCCTCCATTTCTTCTATGAATGGAATAAAAGCAAAACATACCTCTTTGGGATGTAGAGAGAATTAAATATGAGTTAATATATACAGCGTTCAGAAGAGCAATGGCATTTAATGTGTTGTGATTATTATTTTATTTTTAATATATCCATCAGTTTCATGGAGGATGGTATTTATGATCTGACAAAATTTGTATGTTAAAAAAAGTAGATTCAAATAAAAATATTAAATAATTAGTATAAGTAGCACTCATATGGCAAAATGGATGAAGAAGGCATAAGAATCATTGAAGTTTGGAAAATGTTCTAATAGGTTGTACCATGGAGATTATACCTCTTAAATATTTTTCTATCACTTCTTCATCTCTGTTTTACCAATGCCTTATCATCTCTCCCACCTGGATATTTAAAAGAGAACTATCTCTCCCCTTACTCTTTTTTTGTCTCCCCTCAAATACACTTTTCACCCTACTCTCCAGGGTTTTCTTCAGAAATGCAAAATTGATCATACTTGTTTTCTTACATAAAATCTTTCATTAGTAGCTCCTTCATTCTTAAGATAAACCCCAAGGCTTCCAGCCCACAAGACTTATTCATCTAGCTCCTACCTACACTTCAAGCCACATCTGTCACCATTTCAGTTTCAGCCTTAACCCTAAAGCAGCATCAAAGTGCTATAGTCCACACATATTCTTGCTTCTTCATTGGCCCATGGTGTCCCCTCTCCCTGGAAAAACTGATCCACTCAGACTGGACAGTTTCTGACCACTCCCCAGACTGGGTACAGCCCTCCTTTGCTCTCCTGTTTACCTAAAACACATCTTCATCACTGCCTTTCTATACTGTTTTATAATTATCCATTTTGTTTATGACTCCCCAGTTAGAGTTGCAAGTACTCTGAGATCAAGGACTATTCGTTTTTGTGCTCCTGGGACTCAGCTAATGCTAGGTACTGAATGGGTAGTCTGTCAGTATTGCTTAATTTTTCTTTTTTTAGATTTTATTTATTTATTTTTAGAGAGGGAAGGGAGAGAGAGAAAGAGAGAGAAACATCAATGTGGGGTTGCTGGGAGCCATGGCCTGCAACCTAGGCATGTGCCCTGACTGGGAATCGAACCTGCGAAGCCTGGTTCACAGCCGGTGCTCAATCCACTGAGCTACGCCAGCCAGGGCTAATTTTCCTTTTTCATCATCTATGTTTAGTCATAGGTACTGTGACTTGAAAATCATTAATGTTATATTTACAGTACTCCACGTGTATTTCTTCCTAATTTGCGTGTGTGTGTATTGAGAGAGAAAGAACTTTATTCTCAAATATTCAAGAGTGACATGACATAAGAAGGATTATTCACTTCTTAGCCTCTCCAGTCTTTTGCTCTCTAAGCTCTTTATTTTGTATTTACCTTCCTATAAGAACAATTTACGAAATATATTTCTAGAGATAGAATAGCATTAATTTTTTTTCTTGAAATTATAAGTAAGACTTTTACATTTATTAAAATTTCAAGCACCCAACAACATTAATATTAGCCCAATGATATTGGTTTGTGTTGTTTCCTCTTTCACCTGACAGTTTTATTACCTTTTTTTTGAAAATGGAAATCAGTGCTGTTTAGTCATGAAAAACAAAACTCCAGAACAGGAAGCCATATAGGAAACATGTACACTAGTTACATTATAAATTAGGAGTAACAATTGAAAATTTCTGAACTTGTAAACATTTATTGATTAATTTTGTACTTTGTTTTAGGTGAAGTGGGCAAAGATGAAGTCATTGCAAACCATGGGAAAAATAATGAATATTGCCTTCAGGATATAGATGATAAACTGTCCGAATCAACAGATGATGATGGTGAAGATGACACAAGTGATGAAGATAATGAAGACAGTAACCCAAATAGTGATACTCATGCCCCATTAGAATTAATGGCAGAAGTAAGCTTTACTGTGCATTTTAATTAACCTTGAAGTTTAAAAAAATTGTAAAAAGATCCTTGCCCATGTACAGATGCTTACCAGGCTACTCATCTCTCTTATGACTCTCACCAAGGTAGGGGTGAGAGGAGATTCTGCAAGTGACTTAGAGTAGTCTGGAACAGGCAGAAGCAAGAATAAGAAGTTTTGGTATAAAACCCTTCAAGGACTGTTTAAAGGAATGCTTTCTACACGAAGCATGGGCACCGTGCTAGTTACTGGGAATATATAGAAATAAATAAGAAAGACATGTCCTACCTTTGAGAGCTAATAGGCATATGTTATTTATATATAACAATTTATAACAAAATGAAATATGTGCTAGTTGCAGTATTTATGAAGTTCTCTCGGAACAGGGAGGATTAAGTGAGTGATGAAAAAGAGAAACCAGAGAAATGGGATAAAAATTTTAGAAACTTGCAGAGGGAAGGGTAGACATTCATTTGGTAAACAAGAGTTGATGGCATTCCTGACTTAGGAAGCAGCATGTGCAAAGGCATTGAACCCTGAAATGTCATGTGCAAAAACTGTACATAAACGTTTACTGATAATCTATGGAGAACAAAACTGGTTTTTGTTTTTGTTTTTGGTTTTGTGTTTTTTTTAAAGATTTTATTTATTATTTTTAGAGAGGGAAGGGAGGGAGAAAGAGAGAGAGAGAGAGAAACATCAATGTGCGGTTGCTGGGGGTCATGGCCCGCAACCCAGGCATGTGCCCTGACTGGGAATCAAACTTGCGACACTGGTTCACAGCCCGCACTCAATCCACTGAGCTACACCAGCCAGGGGAGAACAAAACTGTTTTACCTCACTTGTTGTGGTATCGCAGTCTATCTTTACTTAATATTACACAACTTCATGTACGTTGTACAAACTTCATAATTGTACATTTTCATTTCCCCTTCTCATCCTTTGTATTATTGTTGTTGTACATTTAACTTCTACCTATGTTAGAAGCTCCACAATACTTTCTTTTTGTTTTAAATAATTATCACAGGGGTTTCCAACCTTTTGGCATCTCTGAACCACACTGGAAAAAGAGTTGTCATAGGCCACATGTCAAATACATTGTGACACAATCACAAAAAAATGTCATAATGTTTTAAGTAAGTTTATGATTTTCTGTTGGGTTGCATTCATAGCCATCTGGGATGTATGTGGCCCCACAGGCTGCAGGTCGGACACCCCTGTGAGTTTTTTTAATTGGAAGATAACTTTTTTGGAACACATTTCTGGTGTTCTTTATAGTTTTGTGAGGATCCAACTATCACCTGATACTATTTTCCTTTTACCTGAAAAACCCCTTTAGTATATTTTACAGTGCAATTCTGCTGGCTGTGAATTATCTCACCTTTGTTTAAAAAAGTCTTAATTTCACCTCATTTTTTCAAAGATGTGTTACCTGGAGAGTTCTAGGTTGCCAGGTTATTTCCTATATTTGAAAGGTTGCTACATTGTCAAATAGTTTCAGAAAAGGTGTCTGGAAATCCAAGATGGCAGAGTATTAAGTGGAAGTTGCACAAACCTCTTCCCAGGACCAAACTGGAAAAACAACTAAATTGTAGAGAAATCATTCTGAATAACCAGCTGAACCATAGCTGGAGAGAAGCCTTATAACCAAGGACAGACAGAAGAAACCAGTTCACCACAACGACACTGGTAGGAAAAGTGGAGGAGGAGCAAAAGGGATGGCTGGGCTCCTACAGAGAGCAGCTGAAGTTCTGGAAGGATATTTAAGTGGCTAGCAGGTTCCCCCTGAGAAGTTTTGAGTCCAAACCCCAAGCTGGGCTCCCCAGCCTATAGCAACATTGTCAGAAAAGGAACCCAGATAACCTACAGCTATGAAAAGCTGTGGAGTTTTTGTTTACCAGGGATCAATGGCTGGAGACTATCAGAGGACCAACACACAAAATTCTATTTGCAGCCTCTTAACCTGGACTCTTGCAGAGGGAGGGCAGAATGAACTAGAGACATGTGAGGAGAGTCTGGGGATGGTGGCTCTGGGGAGAGAACTGAAGAAACACCTGCCAGGATCCCTGTGCTGAATCATCCCCTGTACTGCAGAGGCCACGTTTCTCAGGCAGAGCACTCCTCTCCAAGTGACATCAGCCTGAGAGGAAGTAGAAGCCCTGCGCATAGGAATTACTCCACCTACCCTATGGTGCTTAAGCTGGGGTGCTGAGGAATGTACCTGGAGGTTATCTCAGTGATTAAGTTTAACAACTAAAGCAGATCTCTTGAAGCTCTGAAACTAGCTGGGCCAAGTGCTGGTAAAAGCCAGCCATGCTGTGCATCCTGTTCTTTCTGCACACCAACAGGCACAGCAGAGGGACCCACACACTCTAGGTCACTGATAGATCCAAACAGGTTGCCCAGGGCCAGTTACATTCAGCATCTGACATAGGTCTACACCAGAGTCTTTGTGGGTCTACCTAATACATAGAAACAAAAAACAAACAGCCAAAATGGAAGACAGAAACAGGCCCCAAATGAAAGAACAAGAGAACCCTCCAGAAGAACTGAATGAAATGGAGGCAAGCAATTTATTAGATAGAGTTTAGAGTAAGGATTATAAGGATACTCAACAGCATGAAAAAGACACCAGAAACAATAAAAAATGACTAGTCAAAACTAAAAATCACAGTATCTAAAATAAATAATACACTAGAAGGAATAAGCAGTAGGTTAGATGAAGCAGGGGATCGAATCACTGGTCTAGAAGACAAGGTAGAAAATTCCTGAGCAGAGCAACAAAAAGAATTTAAAAGAATGAAGAACTCTTAAGAAAACTTTAGGACAACATGAAGCATAACAACATCTACGTCATGGGACTACCAAAAGAAGAAAAGAGTGAGCAGGGGATCAAGAATTTATTTGAAGAAATAATGACTAAAAACTTCCCTGGTGTGATGAAAAAAAAAAAAAAAGACATACAAATCCAGGAAGTGCAGAGAGTCCCAAACAAGATGGACCCAAACAGGACTATGCCAAAAATACATCATAATTAAAATGGCAAGCTTAAAAGACAAGGAGAGAATCCTAAAAGCCTCATGAGCAAAGCAGGGAATTACATATACGGGAGCTCCAATTAGATATCATATGATTTCTCAAGAGACATTTAAGGTAAGAAAGGTTTGGAATGAAATACTCAAGGTGATGAAAGCAAGGACCTACAAACCAAGACTACTTGAAATGATAACCAGCAAGGCTATCATTTCAAATTCAAGAAGAAATAAGGAGCTTCCCCCCAAAAGAGCTAAAGGAGTTTGTTAATACCAAACTAGTACTACAACAAATGTTAAAGGGCTTGCTTTAAGAAGAAGAAGAAAATAGAGGAAAATAGTTTAAAAATAAAATGGTAATAAATACATATCTATCAATAATCACCTTAAATGTAAATGGATTAAATTCTCCAACAAAAAGATAAGGTAGCTGAATGGATAAGAAAATAAGATTCATATATATGCTGTCTCTAAGAGACCTACCTCATCTTGAAAGATACTTACAGACTAGAAGATATGGAAAAAGATATTTCATGCAAATGGAAAGAGGAAAAAAGCACTGGGGAAGCAATACTTATATCCAACAAAATAGACTTTAAAACCCAGGCTATAGTAAGAGACACAGAAGGATACTACATAATGATAAAGGGAACAATCCAACAAGAGGGTATAACCCTACTAAACATTTATGCACCCAACACAGGAGCACCTAAATATGTAAAGCAAATCTTAATGGACCTAAGAGGAGTGATCAAGAGAAATACAGTCATAGTAGGGGATTTTAACACCAAATTGCTTCAATAGATAGATCTTCCAGACAAAATCAACAAGGAGATGGTGTGCCTTAACATACTAGATTAGATGGATTTAATTGATAACTTCAGAGCATTTCACCCCAATGCACATAGGATGTTTTCTAAGATAGACCACATGTTAGGACACAGGACAAGTCTCAATAAATTTAACAAGATTGAAATCATATCAAGCATCTTCTCTGACCACAATGCTAAGAAACTAGAAATCAATCACAAGAACACTGAAAAATACACAAGGACAGAAGCTAAATAACATGTTTTTAGCCCATGAATGGGTCAACAACCAGATAAAGGAAGAAATCAAAAGATACCTTGAAACAATTGAGAATGAGACACAACAATCCAAAATCTGGGACATGGACACCAAGCCTAAGAGGGAAATTCATAGCATTACAAGCCTATCCAAACAAACAAGAAAAGGCTCAAAAACAATCTAACTTTATCTAGTCAAGATGGAGGCATAAGTAAACACAGCTCGTCTCTTCACACAACCACAAAAAAGTTACAACTAAATACAAGACAACTATCACCCAGAATCATCAGAAAATCAAGCTGTATGGAAGGTAGACAACCAAGGACTTAAAGAAGTCACAGTCTTCAGTATGGGTAGGAGGGGTGGAGAGGTGGAACCCTGGAATGGGCAGTCCCACACTCACCTGTGGTAGATAAAAATTAGGAGGGATACCTCAGGACCAAGGGATGCCCCTGACACCAGACCACCCAGGCCAGGGTTCTAGTACCAGGAAGCTTAGTCCCCATAACTTTTGGCTGGGGGTGGAGGAGGTCAGAAGAATCTGTGGGATTCTCAGGCATCACTTATAGGGCCCACAAGCATAATAGAAATTATACAGACTCCCTCTGCACTCCAGTGACAGGACAGCAGCTAGAAGGGCACCAGTGGCATATGGGAAGACAGGTATCCGGCATCAGGGAGAGTGCCAAGGGACAGCTTCCTTCAGGACAAATCTCTGGAGGCTAGGCAGCAGCTATTGTCCCTTTTCTGAGCCTTTCGCCACACAGAACCACAGAGCATGACACCATATCTGAGACTCCCATCACCCTGGTTCACATGGTTGCCCAACTAAGATTACTTAAGGCTCCACCCCATCCAAGCTATGGGTGCTCTTTTCTACAGGCCACATTC